GCGGGCGAGAACGTCGAGGGACAAGATAACGGAATCGACGCCAAGATTCAACGAGGAGTTGGAAGAGGAAATGGGGAATGGGCGATAGAAAGGGAAAACGGGAAAGGAAACGCGGTCGGCGTGATCGATATTAAAGCGGGTCGTTCTCGAATCTTGGGAGGAATTCGTGCGAGTCATGCAATTATTCCCCTCCGTTTGTCTTCCACTTTCGACATTGAAATTCGTTTCACGGCTCCGGTCACGAGAGCAACCGATAATTTGCCGGTGACGTTCCATTCGTTACGTTAAAAATTGGTTACACGAGGGAAAAGAAAGAGAGAGAGAGAGAGAGAGAGGAAAAAAGTGTTTGATCCGACGATAAGAGAGAATAAATATCGAGTTTTTACGCGCGAGCGCATCGACGACAATTTTAATGAAAAATTGTGGTTCGATTCCACCCTGATTCAGGGCCAATTTTATTCGAAACGCGCGAATGTCGATTCAATGGGGTCGCGCGAGTGCAAACATCGAAGGTGGCGGGGAGCACACAAAATGGCTCGTTACGTCCGCCAAGAATCACCCCCGAAAATCCCGCAACTCATTTCGCGAACACGCGCACGCGAATTGGTCGGACCGCGAGAGGCCAAGCGTGTCCAGTAATTTCATTACTCTCCATTTTGCCTCCGATTTCCACGCCTAGTTCCGCGCCTAACCCCTTTCGAGGAATAAAATCCAACGTGACTCGACACTTATTATTATTATTTAAATATTATTATTATTATTACTTAAATATAATATAAAGTAATACTTATTAGTATTACTTTTTCCCTTGATTGGGATTGAAAAGAAAGGGGAGACAAAGACGATGCTTGCTCCCTAAGGAGCGAAGGAGCGCTCAATTTTCGATATTCCCCGGAAAGCGTGCGAGAGCAAGAGTAGGTAAGGCTCGATCGGAAGAAGGCTGGGTCTCGTCGCTCAGCCTTCAATATCCTTTCCGTTCCCGGTGACAGAGAGGAGAGCGAGGCGGCAAGTTAACATCCGTTTCATCCGTAAATAGGTCTGAAAACGTTGGAAAAGGAGGTGGATAGGTAGGCTCCCCCTCCTCAACCCCGATCCATCGAGAACGATGCACAGCCTTTTGAAATCCGCGCGGCGGAACTCTCGTCTGTTTGCACGGCAGCTTCCATTCACGCCGTCGAATCAATATTGATACGGACCTTTATATATATATGTATGTGTGTGTGTGTGTGTGTGTGTGGGAGACGCGGCCGCTGTGCACGTCGTACCGATGGAATGTAATATTAATAGCACGGTTGAACAATACATTCACGGCCTACCTGTGCTCCACACGCGTGGAGCAATAACGCGACGATATTTGCTTAGGCGGGTCGTTCCGGGCCTGTCATCGTCACGGACGGGGATAACGAGCTGTCAACGGAGTTGGACGGGAGACCAGTTACCGTCTCCGTGTCTTCGCGCAAATTAACCCTTTTAGCGACGCGAGGCGGAGGAGGGAGGAGGACGAATCGCGAAGGAATAAGAAAAAAGAAGAAGAAAAAGATTTTCCCCCGCGCGAAAGAGCAAACGGAATTCAAGGCGATTCATTCCTCCTCTGTATTTGCGCCCGTGATAGATGTTTGACGCGCGATGCAACCGACTAAACCCCGATAGCTGCGTCGGTCAAGATTAATTGAATCGATACGAACAGCCTGGCCTGGAATTATTACCCCGATGGAACGCGCATACACCCAGAGACGTGACACAATTCCGAAACTCCTGTGTTAGAAGCGGTTATTCGACCGACACCGCGGAAATGGGACCAGTTAAAAAAAAAAAAAAAGGAAAAAGACAAAAGCGGGAGGTCGGGGGTGTCGCGATGTGGGACGAGAGATAACAGCGAGAAACGCAGGACCGGTGGAGACAAAGGGATCGAGGGCAAAAAAAAAAGAAAAAAGAAAAAAGGGGGACGGAGAGAAATAAGAGGTGGCCCGGGGGAACGAGACGAAACACAGCGAAACATCGCTCGACTGACGGTGGATAAATTAGAAATTCTAACGAAGATTAGGGAGAGAAGGTTTCGCTCGAGCTCGCGGCGTTGCGCGGAACGGTAAGTAAGGTTCAAAGGAAGCGAGGGATAAAAAGCAACGGCCATCTCACCTGGAACCGTATTTTTTACCTAGCATAATACCCCACGGCTTCGCGAACGACCATTTGGACTCGTGCCTAGAGTCATCGTGGTCAAATAATATAAATAATTCGTCGTTTCTTTCTTTCTTTCTTACTTTCTTACGATGATTTTTGATAAATTTGATGCCTTGCGTAAACGCTCGTCGACGCAGGATCGATATTTATTAGCGACGTTTTCCACCTCTCTCGCTACGAATCAAAACGACGAAACAAAGAAGGAAAAAAAGGAAAAATAAAAGGAGGGTTGAAAAGCCCCCGTTCGTCGAAACTCATCCGCCGATCCACCTCGATTCGATATTTACCGATTCCCCGTTTAACCGGATGTTTTGGGGGGATGGGGCGGAATGAAAGCATGGGCGGAAAGAGGGTGGAAAAGCCGAGGGACAGGTTGGACAGGAAAAACGGTCGAAATATGGCGGGTCCGCGGAGGCGGCCGTATAATTTCCGACCGAGCGCGGCTCGCCGAATGTTCTCGTCAATGTTTCACCCCCCTCTGTACACACACGCTCCGTACACCCGTTTCTCACCCGCAGTTTGTCTGCATTAACGCTCAGCCACGCGACCGTTCGACGCCGTCGGGGAACGGAAAAGAAGCGGAAAAGCCGGGGGAAATTCCACTCCGCGGGGGTGTCGCGCGCGAATTTTCGACGCGTGTATTTCCTCCCCCTCTTGGTTTTTATGGACGGCACGACTGTCCCCAACCGCGAGGAGGGCGAAGGGGAGGGGAGGCTTTCGACCGGCAGGGAAATCGCGAGCGCTGTTAATTTTTTTACGAGGTCGTTACTCGTCGCTGCCCCTCGAAGAGGCTTTAAAGAGACCGTCGTATCGGTGGAGGGACTATTTCCGTGGCGCGACCGTGAACGGGCGAGGAATGAAGGAGCTCGTCACGCGATCAAAGGTCAACTCGAAACACGTGAACGATTTCCACGAAAGCAGCCCTGCTGCGTGCCCCCCCATCGATCCGAAATTCGCGGGACCATCGATTCGCGCAACCGAGGAGAGCAGGCTCTCCGCGGCTGAGGATTACGCGATTTCCTCGTAACTTGTGCTCGTTAGAATTACCTCCAATTAAGGAGGGCTATTTATAGATCGGAGGGGATTATTCGTCTGACGTCTGAATCGTACGGATATTTGGACGGATAAAGAGATGTTAAAAATATTATAAATTATATCGTGGAAGAAATCGCGCAAGAATTGGGAATACGAAGAATTGGGAAATTCTTGGCAGTTTTTGATCTTTCGATTACAGGTTTCTAATAATCGGTTTATAACCGGAACGTTGAAACGTCGAGGGGAAGGAAGGGGGGTTAAGAGTGGGACGGAATGGTGGCGCGGGCGTAATCTCGAATCTTAGCGCGCTGTAAACAAACGTTACGTCAATCAGGACAACGATCCGGCGGTGATGCAAGCAACGCGTAACGGGCTTCGACGCGATACGAATGCGATAAGGGGAACTACGGCTCTCTCGTCAGCTGATTTTACTGGAGGATGTGCCGCGTTGCGATTGAGCTCCATCCGACGCACAGTTTTGAAACGGTTTCGACGACTCAAAACTTATTCGTGAAAAACGTACGTGGATCTTTCCCGTCGAAATATTTGGCGGTGAAAATTCACGGCGGAGGAGATGGTGGAATATTGAATCGCGAGTGCGATTCGAGGTTGATGGATCTGTCTGCGAACGCGATAAATCAATAGAGTATATGCGGTGTATGCAAAACACGCGGCATCGTCTTTATCGTCGCTACGTTTGATACACGCTCGATCTAAAAGGAAAATATTTTACGAAGCGTTACGAAGGATATTCTCGTTGATAGAACGAAGAGTTTTTTTTTTTCAAAGTGAAAGATGGAAAGGATGAAGAAATACCGGTTGTCCAATATCTCAGTTTAAACCTGACGTGATTTTTCGACGAGATGGGATGGGAAACAACGATTTAACCAGTCGGTTGCGGAGTCTCCTCATCCGGTAAGTGATTCAATTCCGTTTAAGAGGCACGAGGGGTTTTGAAGGAGCAAAGAGACCATTTCCCTGCCTCTCCATAGTGGCGGCTATGTGCCTTATCTAGGGTGGCCGCGTTAAATCGTGACGCGTGACCGTGCATACTAAAGACGTATGTATCTTTAAGCGGCGTTTTCCCCTCTCCCGTTTCACCCTCCCCTTCCATTCATTTGACGTATGTCGAGCGTCGGATAAAACTGTCCGTGAACGATATAAATTGTTCCAGAATGGTAACGAGGACTGGTTCGAATCCGAATATACGAAAGCTCGTACGTACGCGAAAAGCCCGATGATACGCTCGACTTTAACTTCACCCACATCGTTTCCAAAGTATAGTTCGATAGGAATTCGATAAGGCGAAAGACGTTTCTCGAGGAATCTTCTCCTCCTCCTCCTCCTCGTCGACTCGATGATAATTTCCAATATCCACAGTTTCGTACGGCCGTTTACACGCACAGGTACGTAGTAATTTGATCGTTTCGCGGGAATGCGAACCGGTGGATGGGCGTTCGACGGGCGATGCGATAAGGGAAACGCGGAAAACGTTGTCGGGCAGCGGCCGTTACGCCGCCGGCACGGAACGGGATCGCTTATTGGTTTAGTCACGGACCGTTCGTCGCGATTGGTCCCCCCGGACACGCCGGAAAATATGGGTCGAGATGCCCCGAGACGAATCGTCTCTCCTTTTTCCCTCCACCGTTAAATTAAACCGTTGCGACGCGGAGGACGCGTGAATTCGGTGACCGCTTCGGTGAACGCGGTATCTGGATGAAGTTTCTTGAACGAGTTGGAAGAAACGAAAAGAGAAAGGAGAAGAGCGAAATAAACAGACTCACCTTCTCGCGAAGCATATCTCGCACCCTGGTCGCCTGGCTTCTACTTCTGTGCAGTTCGAGTTGCAACTCGAGGCACCTTTCCTGCCAATTAAGCTCCTCCACGGCGCTCGAGTATCCATCGAAGCTCTTGGACGCGCCGTAAGCGGGTCTGGTCTCGAGCTTCTCCTTCTTGGCCGCCTCGGAAGCAGCTGCGGCGCTCCTCTGCTCCCCGTACACCCGGCTCTCGCCGAACATCCTTCCGCTTTGCTCCGGCTGCCTGCCCGAGAACGAGTACGCCCGATCGAAGTGTCCCCCGCGCGGCGCAGGTCCGGGGTCGAAATTGGACCTGGCTCTCGCGAACGCGGCCAGCTCCTTGGCGTCGTAGCAGGCAGGGGAAGCCTCGAAATCGGTCTGCGCGGCGAACGTCCGCACCTTGTCCGCGTACTCCACGTGGCCGCTCGACTCCGAGGTGAAGTCGTACGGGCTGCACTTTGGCTTCGCGTCCCTGAGCTCCACGTAGCCCGCGCTTCTCGCGGCCTCCGCGAACCCCTTCTTGTCCTTTTGAAACAGCAAGTTCGGCACGTTGACGTAGGGCGAGTCTCTGCCGTGCACCGGAGGCGGAAGAGTGCCGGGGCCCTGGATCGCCGCGGCGTGATTGTTGTTCGCGTTGTTGGCGTGCCTCGGGCGGGGCGGTGGGGCCGGCGCCTGGCGGAGTTGCCTCGGCCACAGTCGAGGGCTCTCCGCTCCGCTCGCCAGCAGCCCGCCGCCCCGGCTCGGCTCCGGCCCGGCTTGTTGTCTGCGCTGCGCTGCGACCTCGGCCTGCGCTGGCCCCGTCGTCTGGCCGCCGCCGCTCGCCTCGTGGCCCCGCGCGCCTAGCCTGGGGCTGCAGGGGGCCGAGTTGGAGCCAAAATCGGTGGCGAGCCGCGCGATCGGGTCGAGGATCTGCGAGAGGCGTCGCGCCGGGGAACCTCGCACCTCCTCCATCCTTCCTCGGCTCGTTGCTCGTTGTCCTAGCTGCCTTGTGTCGTCGTCCTCCTCGCTGCTCGGGGCCTCACTGCATCGCTCGACGGCGCGTTCCCCTCCGCTTGCCTCCAGGGATCACGTTGAAACGCGCGTCGCGGCCATCTCCCGGCGATCACGATGATCTCACGCACTCCTGCGCGCATCCTTGCTCACATCCTCGCGGCTCCCCTGCGACCTGCGACATCGAAACCTCGTTACTCGACTCCTCTCCCTTCCCCTTCGTCGCCCTATCCATCGCCATACGCTACCGCTGTCGTATCCTCTTCGCCCCTCGACCGTGCGTAACCCTTTCTTTCCGATTCCCTTTCACCGCGAATCTCTCCGCGAATCGAGCAACGTTAAATTTCTGGTTAGAAAACGGAAATCGTAACGGTCACGCGCGGCTCGAAGGAAGGCGAGCACGTCTGTTCGTCGAAATCGGAGTTAGCAGTTTGGTAATCGGGAGGAGGATAACGCGACGTGGCTGTCGCGGTTCTGATCGGCCGGCTTCGCGGCCTGTCGCCTCCAACTTCGGATCCAACCGTATCCAATTTGCGCGCTGGCGTTAAGCAGGGGGAGGAAGACCTCGTGATCGTCCTCTCAAGTTCAAGCTCTAACGATTTAATCGAGAGAACGGGACGTGTCATCGTCCGCGTATCCTCGACTCCCCTTCCCTCTCCACTTACCGAACAACCGGGTTACAAGTTTCACGAACTCGTTCTCGCGGCCCAGGCCTGACGAGGTTAGACCAGGAAATGGAAGACAGATATTAACTCGCGGCGAGTGTTTGCAGTACTAAATTGAAAGCTGTAACTCTTTGGGGTGTCTCTCGAACCGCTCCGCTCTTCTCTTCCTCGCTCGTGTCCCTCCCTCTTTCATTTCCTTCGGCCGCGCTTCTTCGCCCGACTTGGCGTGACGAGACGCGCACACAGAACTGAGGGAAGGGAGGACTCGCGAAGGAGAACGAGAAACTACTCACGGAGAGAGTGGAGAGAGGAAGAGACGACGACGACAACGACCACGACGACGACGACGACGACGACGACGACGATGTAGGGCTACAAAGTTTATTTTAAGGTCGACGCTAAAAGGGAGCAAATGAAAAACCGGATGGAGGGGTGGGCCGTGTAACGTTCCGTTCTGCAATTACCGCGAGCGAAACGGTTTGCGGCGCTGTTTCTCCTCTCTTTTGCAAAAAAGAACGAACAAGGAAGAACAAACGCGAGAATAATATCGTTTCTGCGATATGGAGAAATCGAGTCCAAGTATCGAAGCTCGCGCGCGAGCGCGAGTCAAGGTTGCTACTCGAGTCGATAAATTGATAGAAAGAAAATCGTTGACTTGGACTGTATATCGAATCAAATATCGATGGCGAACAACGTAACCATGCAGACGGCATTCGAGACCGATAAGATCGACCGACTCGCGGAGTGAAGTAACGAGAGACCTCCCCTCTCCTTCTCTCTTTCGGGGATGCGTGAGAAATCCTAATCAACATCTATTCACTTAGACGGCAAGTCGATTCACGAACCCGATATCGCGCTGCCACGTAATGAACATACGTAAGCGGGTTTCGTGCACGGCCACGAATACTTCGGAATTAAGTCGACGCGTTCTCGCAAAGCTTAACCCGATTCCTCGCGAGACACCCCAACTTTCTCCACCCTTTCTCGAGCGCGAGATTCTCGTCGAACACTCTCTGTCGTTTTTCCATCGATTTTTCGACCAATTATGATAATGGAAACCCGATGAGAAATCGCGGAACGGAGATGGGGGGAGGGTGGCGCGAAATAACGGGACATCGAGGATCAAAGAAACGTTTTCTTTTGGAGTTTTCGGAGGGGAAAGGGACGGAAGGTTTTTTTTCTGGACATTGAAGGAGCGGAGCGACGGCGGAGAGTTTGCTTTCAGAGAAAACAGTAATTATACAAATTGACGACGCGGCCGGAAACCGAATCTTCGTCTAGAAATAGAAGGGGTGATTCGTTTCGCCGGAATCGCGGCCACTTTACTCCTCGTCTCTCGCGTTTGCTTTTCACTTTCTTTCTCGGCTTTCCCTTCGACGTTGTTGTTCGTCTTTATCGGCACTCGATCAGCGAGAAGCTCCAACTACCTGTGGCGTTCCCTCCTCACCGACAAATAACGGGAATCGAGCGAAATATCGATCAGCGGCCACGCGACCACGAATTTTGCGAGCGAAAGCGATATCGTCGAATCTCGATGAGATTTAATTAGTTAGAAAAGGAAGGCGGAAAGTTAGCGTATATAAGGTTACATTGCGAAGCGGATGAAATGAAATTCGAGAGTAAGTTCAGCCGTCTACGCAGCATCCTTCGAGTTACGAACGGGCGTTGCGCAATCGCGCTCGTAATCGACAACGATCCTCTCGATTCCAGACACTCGGGAACTCGCGTTACGCAGTTACGTGACGCGTATTTTTATCCACCGTGACTGATCCATCGAGACTCTAAAGAGAAGCAAATCGATCACCCGTCCATTCCTTCGAGCCAAAACCCGACACCCGACGACGAAAACGAAGAAACGCGTTCGTCCGCGCGAGAGTATCGATCCCCTCCTCCCCCTCCTCCCTCATGCTCGAGCTTCCATAAACCGCGACGTTTTAATAAAGACCCCGTGCAACGCTCGTATCCCTCGCGCTTTATTATTACTACCCTGTAAATCTATCGGTCGTTGCGTATTGGCATACCTTGATTTTACGCGCCCCCTCCTCCTTCCTCCCCCCTCTCTTTTTGGATTTTTCGTAAAGCGCATATATACGTGTCTCTACCATCGATTCCATCCCGGCTCTCTCCATAGCGTAATATCGTCGGGTTTTACGAGCAACCGATATCTTTTTCCACGCGATACGGTGTACTTTTGGGATTGTCGTTTTCATGAAAGAAAACGACTCCTCGACCGTGCGCCGTCACCCTTTTTTGGATACACGCGAGATATACGGCCGGCAATAACGCCCAGTTCCGCGTATAAATCCGAATGCCTACTCGAAATACCTAAGTCTTACCGATAAAATCCGAGCCTTCTTCTGTTTCGCGCCTTCCAAGGGGGGCATTTACTTTCGGGGCTACCGCAAACTTGTCGAATTTCGAGCGGTGGACGAACTGCGTTACCTAACTTTCTTCGACCGCCTATTGAGAATCTTTCCCCAGTCGTCGATTTAGAACGACTTTTCTTTTTTATCTTTTTCGTTGGAATTTCGAAGGAGAGAGAGAGAGAAAAAAGATCGAAACGGTATCAGTGAGGGGAAGGGGAGGGTCGATCGTTCGATGAGAAAACTTAATTCTTAATCGTAATAAAATTACGTATTCATGGGAGGTCGGTTTGTTCTCTTTTACCTCTCTCTTTACTTCACCCCCTCGTTCCGTAGGCCTACGAAGAGGAACACGAAGCGTTCCCAACCACATGTATCCACGTAATACCCCGACGTATATAGAGGAAGCTAGTGGTCCCGCGGAGTCCATGAATAAATTTCGAATTAACTTCCGAACGGTTTTCGCGTTATACGAGGCGCGACGGAAGCCCTCTTCAATCTGGCCGCCTCCTTGGAGGCAGTCGTTGTAATACCGGGATGGCTCACTCCCGTGTGCCCTTCCTTCGCACACACAAAGGGTCACTGTGTGGCAACCCGACAAAGAAACGATCTTCCCTTCCCTCGAGCAAATTTTCTTGATTCCAATTTCATCGGAATTTCTATCGTTTTATTTTTTTTGTATATATCATCGAGAGGACAATGGCGATCGTTCCGTATAGAAATAACCAGTTACTGATCGCGACACCTGTCAAATATAATATGTAACAAAATTGTACCTAATTACCGCATGGCTGCATCCTAATCGCGAGCACGAGGAATCTCGCTCTTTTCCGTTTCAATAGAGGTACGTTGCAGATGTGTGCAAGATGTAAATATTTATCAAGAAGCAAAATTAATTTTAATCCGATATGTAGAGATCGATGGATCATGAGTCTAAATTGAGATTTACAAGTAACCGGTTTGCAAAAATTAATACAATTGGGAATGTCGTTATTCGTAATTTGGAAAATTAACGAATCGACCACGTGGAAGCATAAATTCGTAAGTTCTACTATTGTTATTCTTATTATATTAAAATACAAGAATACGACGGGAAAGAATAATATTTAATAATATTTAAAGTTTTATTCTTTTTTTTTTCCTGAAATTCGATCTTAAAAATAGAAATTCCGCGTTATTCCTCGTATATATATATAAAACGTCTATAAGAAATGCTCGTCCCTCGTTCGAGATAAAAATAAAAAAAAATAATCGCGAGCTAAAAATTTAAAATTCCTACTGCTAATACGCGTAATGAATTAATGAACCGTCCACGAATTAATCGAAGCCAATTCAGAAATGAGCAATCATCGATATAACCGAGGGTTCCAAATTAACCTCCCATTCTTCCTACTATGCCGTCATAAATCACGGGTATTCAAACCCCGATCCACGTTTAACAAGTGCCTCCCCCCCCCCTCCCTCCAACCATTCCCGATTCTTCTCCCGCGTTAAAGGAGAGCCGCTGAATCGAACCGAGAGAGGCTCGGTCCGGCCCCCGATTATCGAACCGTCGTGGACCGCTCTCGCTCCATTCCAAACCAACCGAACCATTTCCCCTCTAGGGATCTGGAAAACAAGATGTTATCGGTCCGTGGCGTGGAGAAACGGCGCGCGGTGTTCTTCGTTTCCACGCAGTTCCATCGGTCGCAACAAAGTGTAATGCCGCTCGCGAGGAGTCCGCGCGCTTACACGCGCAATTACTGTTACGTGTATCGACGTTACGGAGAAACGGAGAGAGAGAGAGAGAGAGAGAGAGAGAGAGAGAGAGAGAGAGAGAGAGAGAGAGAGAGAGAGAGAGAGAGAGAAAGTTCTTCTGGAAAAAGGAGCGGCACAAGGAGGCCACACATCGATTCGAGGGAAACGTCGAACGCTCGTTCTTTCTTGAAAGAAAGCCACGTTCATTCGTTTCTACTTTAATCCTAATATTTTTTTATTCTAACTCGTATAAATAAGAAACCACGTATTTATTTCATCTTAACACTTTCGTATCTTCGTATGAACGAAACGCGTGGAAAAATTGATCTTTTTAGATATTTTCTCGAGAGAAGGGATTCGTTCTCAACCGATACGCGGCTTCCACTTCGGACTGTACACGCATCGATAAGGCTCCCGTCTCTTCTGCTTCGCGTCGCTCCGTTTCCTCCGATGTTTCTCCCCCTTTTTTTTTCCTCGAGCCAGCCTGTATCCTGGTTATGTATTATTTATGGATCTCGACAGATCCCCGCAGAACGAAACCGATTCTTTCTTCAGACGCGAGCGGACAGCAAGCTCGTCTCGAGGTAATTTATTCGACACCCTGTATGCAAACTCGGCACCGATAGCTTGTTCAAATTCCGCGAGAAACGGAGCCAGCCACGATCTCTAGCCCGCTCTCCTCTCGAAACAACTTCTTCGATTACGTGACACCGATGCGCCCCTCCCCTCCTTTCTCGATAAATCTTCTTTCCAGATTTTATTCGTTGGCCGAGTCGCGCGAGAATTCAACCGAGTTGCGGCGCGACGAACACCGATTTCGAATTCCTTTCGGAATTTCGTTCGAACCGATGCGCGGCGAAACGCCGGCTGAATCGTAATTCTCCAATTACCCGTGAGCGAGTCCTCCATCTTTAACGACTACGCCTATTAAATACCAAGATTTCCCCTCGAGCGATTCGAAGAAGAATCGTGTCGAAACACCGAGTAGATACGTAACGATCTAATGAGTAGGCTGCAGTGGAACGCAAAGGGACGAATTTTCAAGATCAAGCGGGCGAGCAAGAAGAGTGGCGAAGATGTTTCTATTTCTCATTCTATCCGCTCGTCGTGTTGCTTCCCGTGCAATTTTAGAGGCGACCGTTCGCGTACACGCAGCGAAATAAAGGACGTCTCGCGTGGAGTCGCGTGCGAAGAAACTATCCCGCGGATACGTGACGCGAATACATCACCGATGCTAATTGCGGGTAGAAAGGCCGTGCACCGAGGGCCCCTGCCTTCGGAGAACGCTACGGGGAAATATCCGCGCCGAAAGTCGCGGACCGAAAAACACGGCGAACCCTTTCCGATCCGGCAAAGCAATTACGAGTTCCCCATTTGGTCAAGGAACAGTCCGCGAAGGACAATGGGAGAGAATTTACGGACCGCTCAATGGATCAAATTGGTTCGGTAAATACTTGTATATGTATGAGGAAAGCGTACGTATGTAAAAAGAAGGAATGAGAATTTACATCGAGACGGATTTCTCATTGTTTGAATCGATGATATTTTGCGGCAAACTAGATTGCACGTGGGTAAAAGTTAATCCTTCACGCTCACGAGTTCCCGTCGGTAAACGAATATTATATATATATATATATATTTCACGGGATATCATTGCATATGGTACAGTTGAAATTCCCTGTAGAGACGGGGAAACTTGGTGAAACTTTCGCGACCCTTTCTCGCGTCTCGAGCAATACGAGAGAGACCCCAACTTTCGGATGGTTTTGAATACGAGCGGCGAATGTTTGCCAGATTGCGAGCACGCCACAGTCCTCGTACAATTTTATGGCCATGGATCGTCGAGTTGACCCGATGTTTCATGGGACTCGCTACGACCCACCGAATTTTCTAATAATCGGACCGATATAGAGTCGGACATGTCGATCGAGAAAATCGTCCATTTTTTCGTCTTGGAAAACAAAATAGCTTGGATTTTACGAGCAGCGAAGAAAAGAAATTATCTCGAGAAATTATGTATAAAAATATGACGAGTAAGGAGAGAACGGATAAAAAAAAAAAGAAAAAAACTGTAAATGATAATGAAAATGTAAATGAAATTATTGTAAATGATAACGAACAAACAAATTGATAAACGAATTGAGATATAAATTATAATATATATATAAATAAATAAAAAATATATAAATCAAAACGAAAGAATTGAAATAAATGTTAACCTACATAACAGTGAATGAATGTAAGAAGGAAGGGGTAAACTGGATAAAGTTCGAAAGTATCTGTTTTCGTGTTATGAGGTTAAATTTGCAAGAGAAGGGAGGGAGAGTGTTGGTTCTTTGACGGTACGTGCCATTTTCCAAATGGACGGGGGCCAGATCGGCAATGACGAGACTGAGAAACACGTCATCGATATCTCTAAACTGTCTCGTTCGTTAGAATGATTTGTTACTGGCGACAGACTTGCTTATCGGGATATTCCAAAATTGGCAAGGACGTACTGCGACTCCAAGCTGTCCTTGGCACGCATTATACGTATGAATCATAAGAATACATGTTTACTTCCGAACTATATTACTGAGATGGAATGCCAAATAACAGCTCGTAAATTCTACCATTAACGTTTTAACGATATTATGTGGGGAAACGGTACTTAACGAAAATAAAAAGGAATCGGTATTCTCGAGCGAAGGTATTTCATCTATCCCAAGTTATAATTCGAGCTACATAAAAATTCAGGAAACCGAGTTAAGTTAAATGATAAAGAGAATTATCAGAGTTAATAGGCATGATCTGGCTACTGAGTCGACTAAGCGTCATTAAGGGACATTAATAATCGTTAAGAAGGTGCTCGACTATTTCCGGTGCGGGTCAAGAAGCACGGTAATCACTCGAAACCATTAAACTACGTAAGTCGATTAAACGACAATGAACAATATACAATAACATTTTCTTCCGAGGATTAGTTGAAAAACGAGAGCAGTGATATTGAATTTCAAGATCTTAGAGTTCGGATTTTTGCGAAAATTAATTTCGTATGGAAACATGGAAATGAAAGATCGTTAGATTTTCGGGAGTCTCGATCGATCGCAATGATTTCATCAAAAATTTCTTTTCGTAGAATAAAATCAAATTTCAATCAGTTTAAATCAAATGTCCAAATAAAAATTTTAACATCATGAATCATTTAGTGATTCATAAAAGATCGTTACATTCCCGATAATCTCGATCGATCGCAACGCTTTCACTAAAAATTTCTTTTCAAAGAAATAAAATCAAATTTCAACCAATTTAAGCTAACCAAATCTTCAGACAAAAATCTTAACCTAACATGGTATCGTGAATCATTCAATGGTATTTGAACACGTCTCTCAAGATATCTGTCACGTACCATGGCTGGTCGAGTTTCCGAACCGCGATTCCACCATTCGACTATTCTACATTCGACATAACGAACATGGCTGCTTTTTCGTATGCGTTGAAATATTCCATTGTTCGGTAACAATAGCTGAATTTCCGTAACAAGATATACACCACGTAAAAAGAGTAACATTTTTTTTGAATAATTTTGATTTATCGATAACTTTATAATAAGAATTTATAATAAAATCAGATAATCTAACATCATATAATAAAAGCAATGAAAATTTATTACATTTCTTATTTGAAAGAAATAACATTAAAAATGTCATTCCAAAAGAAAAAATGAAAAATTTTAACTTACTGAGGTTAGACGATACTTGCGATCTTGAGGAGTGTAAATGCGTAGACGTGAAAATATTTCGTATTCAGTCAGCCATTATGTATCACCACATAAAAAAAAAGAGAAAAGAGAATACTTTCGAATAGATGTTCTGTGCTTTCTATAGAATAGCGAAGGTTCAATGTCCAGAGATAAAACGTGTGGCTATATACTGTCGTAAAATTGAAAACCAGGTTCTCGTAGTTGGAAAGTGAAAAGCGTACACAGACTTTCGATACAGAAGCGGGATTATAAACGGCACTCGACCATGCGAAATTAACACGTTTGATTGTTAGCGAATCGAAACTGACAGTGAATCCATCCAGTAACGGATTTGTACTGCGCGCAGTTTCCATGCGCATCATGGAAATTGAATTTCTCGATCGGTATGTCACGTGAATCGCAAAAAACGCGGGAAATGATAATTGTCGACCAAATATGTCGCCGAACTAGTAACATACCAACCAAAAAAATTTAATTTTCCTATGGACATGATAAATTTTCACGAATTATTTTTTTTATCAAATACGTACAATGTAACAATTAAATATGAGATAAGAAGCATAATAAATACAAATCGATGAATTCCATAATTTAATTTTTTTTTTTATCGAATTTAAGCCATAGTTACATTCAATTAATAATCATTAAATATTTTGTTATAATGTAATGAGCACTGCTCACGGAGTTCGATAGGCGAATGCGCGGCTTGCATTTTGCATAAATTATCTATATAGTTGTGTCTGGTTCGCGTGGTTACTCGACGTTATTGTCAAAATAATGCGGGAGCAGGTTGCCGCTGCAGGCTTGATAAAACAAATAGACTCTCGACACGTGAGTTGTATATTCCACCTTTTCCTGCTCTCTGAATGCCCAATTGTTTCCCGCGATCACGGAATTAAAGCAGAAAAGAAGAAAGGTTGGCTACACTTCCCGTATAAAATAAGACTATATTGTATGATGCTTAATGCATGTCAGGATAATGAAATCAAAAATAAAAGAAGAAATTTATCAGAAAAATTAAAATATTCGTTTGTTACGTGTTTTGGAAATGTACATTAATAGTAAAATAAATATACAAAAGTTTTGTAACTATGTATTATAATTATGTTAAAAATAGGTTAGATCTTTATTTTATATATTTCATTTATATTTTAATACATTCACATAATTTTTTATAATGTTTATTAACATAATTAAAATTTATATATATTGAAATATATATTATACAAATTTCAGATTGCATATTTATTTTTATTATTCGTTGATTATAAATAATTATAATTACTGGTTACTATTCCATATTTATTCACTATATTCATTATATTAAATAGTGAATGACTAAAAATTAATGCTAATTTCAATTGACGAGCAACAATTTGATTTCTATTAAAATGAATTCAAGCATTTTCTGTAGAAACAATTAATATGCGTAATTTTATAGAAACATATATTTATTTAAGTATATAGAACATATACTTATTTTTCATGGGACAATCGTAGAAAGAGAAAAAAAAGAAAAAAAATATTACAGGAAAAATGCAAACACTTGACTGAACTAAATGTGGTGTCGTTTTCTTTATCATCATTTATTAAAAGCGCTAGGTAAGCGGAACAATGCAAATGGTCTCGTTATGCAATGCTCTTTCTACATAATTCCCGTGGGTAGTGTTTGAAAAATAAACGTCAAGATAAACGACTTCAGCATCTTTTATACAAAGCACTCAAAAAAACTAATTGTCATAATCACGTTTGAGTTATAAATTTATTAAGTTATAAATAGACAGAAATCACTATTTTTTTGATTTTAAATATGTTAATTTTTAAAAATTATTGTTAATTTAAAATATATTGATTGTATCTTTCTATTTCCTTTGATTATCTAATAAATGCATATTTACATCATACATTGGATTATCATGCGTTAGACTATATCACTATAACGCGTTAACGAACGAAAATTGACATGAACAGCTTCACAGTCAGTAATGAATATAGTGAATGGTTAAGAATGTTCACGAAGATTATTAAAAAGAAAAATAAATCAACAATTTTCTTGTTCGTGAAACACAATCAAAGACTATAGTCGAATCAGACGACAGGATATAACTCTTAACTTGACATTGAGAAATTTGACCGAATATGAACAAAAAATCAAGCGTATCAGAGCAAAGAATATCAAACTACTTACAGTAATTCAAAACGAGTTTGAATCAACGGAAAATATGTCGTAGTACATTATTACTGGTGTGCCTAAGGCGTGGACAAAAGATGAATTTGAGACCGATGACCTTTCTCTTCGAAGAGAAAGAGAGAGCCAGAGAAAAAGAGTGAAATAAGAGAGATGAGAGAAGAGAGAAGAAAAAGAGACAGGTCAAGAGAGATCATTCGAGAAGGCTCCGTTAGTTGATCAAGCTCGAAGGCTATTTAACATTCCGTGTTTGGAAGGACGCACTTTAAGAATCGCAGATGTTCAATGGACTGGCATTGCTAGTTTTCAAACTTGTTCTCACTACTCTCGCTTGGTCTTCGTTTCACGCTCTTTCCTAGTCCTTTCTACTTCTCATTTCTCTCCCAATGTTTTTTTTTATGTGAAAACCCACCCAAGAAAGGCTGTCGTGTGCTATGGTTCTAGTCACGAAGGGTTCGTTCGCAGGATAGTGCTCTCAGAAATATTCTAATCAAAAGATGACAGCTTGTACAACAAGTAGGTCATATACGACACAGAACACGACGAAACGTTAAGATTTCACAAAAACGATATAACAATGCGATATGAAAATGAAACACGATGCAAAGAACGCGAACCCGCGTGTTTACGTCGGCGGAACTCACCTTGATTCGACTCGGACTGCGGTAACGGCTCGTAACGATTTGAAACGAGCGCACTGAGTCCACTCCATGCCTGGTACACGCACGACCACTGTCTTCTCAGCTACTTTTTCCTCGATTTTAATCTTTTCGAACACTCGTGGACATGCTGTCTTTCGTTCAACGCAGATAAAGATCGTCAGCGCACACTAATACTTGACGGTCACGACGCTGAGGCGCGAAAAACGCGAAAATCCGACGGATCCGCGGTATAATGTCACGAAATACGTACCAAGTCGGCGAACGTCGAGCCGCGACAGTGGCGTCTACCTGCGCCAAATAATTTAACTAAATTCTCTAGCCACTAACACCTGGGGATTTTTCTAACCGTCATTTACTTCTACTTTTTACTATCGTTTTAAATTTAAAAGAATGTCATTTTTCTAAATAAAATTTTTATTATCAATTTATAATAATCTTTATTATTTTGTGCATATATTTTTTTACAAAATAATATATAACTTTAAAGTGTAGAATCTATTCCTAATGAATTTTTTTTTTCAAATTTATTTATATTTTTAAGTAAATAATGGTTAAATTCAAAATGTTTTTTGTCTTGATACAATATAATAATAGAAATGTTATTGTATATAAAAAATTCAATTTATTTTATATAAATTAATTTTATAATATTTTTTTATATTGTTTGTAAACTAAAATTTGAAATAATTTATTTTTATATGTGGGATTTAAAATATCATGCAATTTATTTTCAAGAAGAGGGAGGTAAGATTCATAATTTCTTATAAGAGTTTTAAATGAAATAGATTTTTGAAATTTAACATTCAAAAGTGAATTTATCCAATTTATATCTTCATCTGGCAATATAATATCCATATAAGATTCCATATTTTTTATTAAAAATTCTGCACAAATTCTTGATACTTCCACAGGTTCAAAAAATTCATAATTTGTACATTTATTAAACACCTTAAATGAAATTATAATATATATATGCATAATATTCTTTATAGTTTTACTTATTTTAAATAATTTTTACTTACATCTGTATCATCCATTTCGTAATCTGTATCATCTAATAATGCAATACTCCAATAAAATAATACAATACATGTAAATTCGGGACATTTATTGTGTACATTGCATTCAAAAAATTTAGAGAATAATAAATTTAGATAAAAATAATCATTGATTACTGTACAATGTATTGGTATATGGTCAATTAATAAAAATGCTTCATATCGTATTTTAGAATTATTATCTAGCAACAATTGTAATACTGTTGTCCACCATTGAACCTGTATATCTGTAATTATATTTCATTAAAATATATTATAAATATATTATAAATATTTACTAATATTTTAACATTTCAAAACTTACATCGATATTCATTGTGTTCATAACATGCTAGGAAAAGACTCTGCATTATTTCAAATACAGATTTTCTAAAATCTTCATTTAAACTTGTAATCCATAGATTATCACAGAAACTAGCATACACATCATTTGTACATTCTAAATCAATTATTTCTTCATGTTTGTTCAAAAAAACTAAAGTTACATATGACTTTCCCAACAATCTCAAGTAACAATCTCTTTCGTAATAATTATTTTTATTATTTTTTGGACGTATTTCATTTAATATAAATTTACAAATATTAATTATCTTCGTAAAATCAGATAATTCAATTTGATTAAAATATATTAAGCTATTATATAGAAAATCAAATATTACATCTTGCAATTCTGGATTATATTTATGAAGAAATTTTATCGAATTACGAATTTCATTAAAACCATAATTTAAGAATAGTAGTGATACCTCATTATTTTTCATTTCATTGATGATTTCTATTATAATTGACCATATAGTAATTTGCACTTGGGATACTCTTAAATTATATAAATATATTTTAATTAATATAGACTGTTGAATTAGCGAAGTTTCTTTTGCTATTGTTCGAATAAATTTAATGGCAGATACTTTATATAATTCTTGTGCTGGTCCTTTTTTTAGTTTTTCACCTAATAAATGAGAAATGATCGTATTTAGCATCGAAAATTGTTGTATCAAATATCTGCAATTATTGAAATGATTATAACACTTTATTAATTATTTCAAAATTTTTTAATGTCAATTTTCTTTACGTTTTATCTACTTTATATATTTCCTTGCAAACATCTATGTAAACTGCAGCTAATAAAAAACTTGATGACTTCAAATTTTTTTGTTCCAAATTTTCTAAAATCCAAATTGTTTGCTTTAAAAACTTATCCCAATTTATTTCAACTAATTCAAAAGATTCAAAATTAAAATGTTTCAATATCTCATACATCTATAACATATAAAAAATATTTATATTAAAAAATCATAAAAAATCATAAAAAATCATAAACATAGAAATAATTGTTTGAAATATTTGAATACATACTTGTAACATATAACCGTGCGTTGAATTCAAAGATAAATTACTAATTTCTGCAGATACTAAATACCCAATTATTTTCGTTAAAATACATTGAACGGATTGTTCTGTTAATAAAGATACAAGTGCTCGGGCTGCTAATTTACGTGTTTCAAATATAGCACTTTTTGCACATTGTATAATTAAATCTATAAGATCATTAACCTGAAATGCATGTAAAATATACTATGTAATGTACTAATTTTTAAAATAAATCATCAATAAATAATTTATAATTACCCTCCATTGAATATTGTTAGATTCAGAGCTATGGTTATAATATAATCGTGATAATAATAGTAAAATTGATTGCACATTAGCTTTTATAAAAATATCATCCATTGCCACAAATTTTTGTAATTCATCTAAGATAAAGGATAATAAATTAGGAAATTTTTCAAAAAATACTTTATAATTCATCTTATTATCTGTTGTAAGATTAATATGATCTTTTGTTCTTTGAACGCCAAAAATTCTAATAATGAGTGCACTGAACAACAGTGTCGCGGCGTTTCTTTCCTATAAGAATATAAGTTTTGATTTCATTTTTTAAATAATAAAGACGAACTTTTTAATATTCTGATAGTTTACCGCCCATGTTAATGCATCATAACTTCTAAATGCAGCTATTAAACCATCTTCAATGTAATTATGTACTATTTCTGCAAGATGAGAATATCGAAAAATTGCTCTTAAAATATTTAAGGCATGTGTTTTAATTTCTGTAATTTGAGCAATATTTTCATTCAGAGAACGACCGTTATTGTATTTCGATATTGCTAATGATTTTTCAGAGTACGTAAATACTGAGTTAGAATACATTATCTGTTGAACTTTTTCCCATATATTTGGATTCTCCAGTTGTGTGAGTTCCAACAAAATTTTCATCACTGAATCAAATATTATAGTTCTTGTATCTTTGTGTTGACGAACTTCAGTAGCTAATAAAGCCTGTTAAATTAAAATGTTATCAATATAATAATAATATTAGAAAAAATAAATTAAAACTATTTAATGATAACTACATCTACCTGTATCATAAATGGTACACCTGCACTTCTTCTGGTTGCACATAATTTTGAATTTTCTTTAATTCCTGTAATAGCAATTAAAATTTGATGTAACCATAGTTTAGGCAATTGATTTAAATTCGTTTTATTTAAACGCCATAAACGAGAACATAATTGACTAAAACCAACATATGCTTGTTCAAATGCTCCTCTATGTTTTGTTTCAGTAAGCAATGAAACCAAATGTTCTCCTATTCTGTTAATCTGTTAAAAATTTACTTTGATTTATTTTCTTTTAAGAAAGTGAATGTTAATATAAATTGTGAAAGTTTACTTGCTCTTCATTTAATAATCCTATAAAGGAATTATTTTCACATATAGGTGCATTAGTGGAAAGCAAACCAAACAATAAGCTAACTTCTTTTATAGTTCGCCAAGAACAAAGTAACACCATTTGTGATGTTACTAGTTGCTTATTAGAACAACATAATTCATTATTAACTTGTAAATTTAAATCCATTGGCAAATGTCCTTCAGGTGAAGAATTATTTACTATTAAAGAAACTGCATGACTAAATTCAAAACATACAGATATCAATTCTGCTATAGTATTCTGCCACAAATGTTCATTACTAATAACTTCCAAATTACATTCATATGCCAACAAATTCCTGATGCAAAAAAGATATCCATATAAAGAATGTTTACTAATAGTTTTTACTATATTTTGCTTTGCTAAAGTCAAAGAATCCTGCAAAGAAATTATATATCTTTATCTTCATATAGTATATATACATTATTAAAAATTCAAATACCTTTAATTTTTTCAATAAAATAAATATCAATTGTAATGTTATTGCTTCCGTTATCTCTTTAGATTGAATTAATATATTAAAATGAATTTCAAGCACATTTTGAATAACAGGAGACAACATAGTAACTTTTAGCATATACGTAGCTGTAATACTATCAATAGGTCTAATGCTATTACCTAATTCAATAGCAACCATTATAATATCAAAAACATGATTTTCATTATTTAATTGCAATAAACTTGGGTCCATTGACTTTATTAAATTAAAAGCCATTTCTTTATTTTTTTCATATGTATCTAATAACATTAGATTGAATATTGTTTCTATTTGTTCACTTTTCCAAGTAATTTGTTTAAATTCATTATCTAATAGATCTCTCATTAAAAGTAATATTTGTAGAGAATATTTTCTTCTATTATATGTAGCATCAGGACTACATATACATATTTTCCGCATAGATTGAAATGTATTGCAATATAAATTTATTTCACTTTCTAAACTATTAGACATTTTATAAGATTCATCTAACACTTGTTGTTTTGTATCCAATGATTTACAATTTTTTACATAATAATTTCTCATTTTTTCTTCTTGCATATACTGTCTTCTCATAACAACTAAGCTGTCTTTTATACGCTGTAAAACCTATAAAAAAAATATATAAAATTCGTAGAAATACTAAATTTCCATTATGATGATTTTACCTTTTTTATCAAAGGTACAAATTCTATATTTTCCTTAAAATTTACGTGCAGAAATAAAATAATTATATCAAGTTCTTTAGATGTAAATTTTAAAGTACTTTTTTTTGATTCTACTATAAGAGCAAGTGTATTTAATTTTATCTGAAATAAATATTGATATTAAATTAATATACTAAAGTATGAAATTTGAAATCATTAATTTTTTATCATTTCTATCAATACTTCTTCATCTTGATGATAAATATAATGTTCCAA